ATTCAATTTGTTCTGGTCCGTAGAATCATTACATTCAGGCTTTTTGTTGTAAACACTGTCTTTTCAGAGAAAATGCAGTGTTTACATTACAGCCTAGTGATAACTTCACTGGCCACTCCTCAGATGCTGTTAGAGATCTTTCCTGGGTCATGGCTGCCTAAAATGAATCCAAACATTCAGTGTCTCCTCCCTCTGCATGCAGACACTGAACTTTCCTCATAGAGATTCATTGATTCAATTAATGAGAAGATGCTGATTGGCCAGGGCTGTGTTTGAATCATGCTGGCTCTGCCCCTGATCTGCCTCTTTGTCAGTCTCAGCCAATCCTAAGTGGAAGCATTGTGATTGGATCAGACTACCACTTCTGATGATGTCAGCAGACTACTTGTTTTTCTGAGGAAGCAGAATGCAGATCTACAGCTTTAGGCTTGAATACAGTAAGATTTTGCTATATTTATGGAGGCATGAGTGGCCCAGGGGGGCTAGATGGTTTTAAAGGACCACTATAGTGCCAGGAAAACATACTCGTTTTCCTGGCACTATAGTGCCCTGAGGTGGTCTGGGTGCCTAGAGTGGTCCTTTAACACTATAAGGGTCAGGAACACGTTTGTGTTCCTGACCATATAGTGATCCTTTAAGTGACCAGGTCCCCTCTGATTGCATAGGAATGGTGTTTTACTTTTTTCCCACGCCATGCCAGTGTCCCTGTGTCTGGCCTTGCTTCTATGGCTGCGATAATGAAGCTTGATGATCTCAGCCATTCCAATGCTTTCCCATAGAAAAGTATTATGAAACTATTGTGCATGCGCTTCAAAACACTGCACCAATCAGCATCTCCTGATAGAGATCAATGCATCTCTATGGGGAACGTTCATCGCCTCCATGCAGCGCATGAAGATGCCTAATGTAGGTGATGCACACATTAGTGGATGTCTGAGTGACTGCCACTAAAGGTGTGTATAGTGTCTCTTTAAAAGTTGTATTTTTGTTGTTGAAAATAAAGCGTTGTTAGTTTAAAAAAAAAAAAAAAAAAAACCTGGCTCCTAACTTTATCTGGCTCCTAGATTCCAAGCAAAATTGTCAAGCCCTGCCATAAACCATAACGATTGGAGAACCAGCTCTATTTTCTTTGTTTGTTTTTTTCATGCTGGTGTTTTACTGGTTTCTCTGTCCAACGTATCACTTCTTCTTTTTGGCTTATTTCAACTGAATATCCAAACACCAACTATTCCAGTGACTCAGGCAAACTGGTCAGTTCTTTTCAATAATCAAATAAAATTTGTTAATGTTTTGCCTGGCAGTCTGTGAACAGGCTTTACTACTACCCTGCACACCAGACCTGCTAAATAAGATTTAAAGCGGCACTGTCATGCCGAATCCCGTTTTTTTTTAACCCCCCTCCCGCCTCCACTACATCCAATTGACCCACTAGTCACCCCCAAATGCCCCTAAGCCCCCCACATTACCTATTTTTTAATCCTTATTTTCTGCCCCGATCTTGATTCAGGGCGCCGCCATCTTTGTGTGGGTAGATGAAGTCCCTGTGGGACACGTCATCAGCCCACACTAGACAGACTGTGAGATTCCCGCACATGCCCAGTGAAACACCTGGACATGCGAACGGGAATTTCATCTATTCATTCATTCATCAGAAAGACGAATGAGTGAATAGAAATATCAGCCGAACAAACTAACACAATGTATCAGTGTTAGTTTGTTCGTTCAGTTTATTACAAGGAGGGAGCTACTGGCGTGCAGCTCCCTCCTTGTAATATGTAACTATAGAAGCGGCAGGGAGCAGTGCTCCCCACCACTTCATAAGCCCCCCAGGTCCCCCTCTCACTCTATGGGGGTCAATATGACCCCCATAATAGCACAAGAGAGATTAAAATCTCCCAAATGCCCCTACTCACTATACCGCGAGTAGGGGCATGTCTACTAAACAGTGAGCAGCCTATGGCTGCTCACTGTTGAAAAAAAAGACATAAATTACAATAAGGGGGGGCGGACCTATTGTCCTCCCCCCCTCCCCCACCCTGAGCGGCGGGTGGGGGCCCCATAAAACAATAAGGGGGGGGACCTACTGTCCTCCCCCCCTGGCCCCCACCCCTGAGCGGTGGGTGGGGGCCCTAATAAAAAAATAAGGGGGGAGGACCTACTGGCCCCCACCCCTGAGCGGTGGGTGGGGGCCCTAATAAAACAATAAGGGGGGACCCACTGTCCTCCCCCCCCCTGGCCCCCACCCATGCGCGGTGGGTGGGGGCCCCAGTAAAACAATAAGGGGGGGGACCTACTGGCCCCCACCCCTGAGCGGTGGGTGGGGGCTCTAAATAAAGATATGGGGGGGGGAACTTCTGTCCCCCCCTGGCCCCCACCCCTGAGCGGCGGGTGGGGGCCCTAATAAAACAATAAGGGGGGGGACCTACTGTCCTCCCCCTCCTGGCCCCCACCCCCGAGCCGTGGGTGTGGGCCCTAAATGAAACACCCCCCCCAATCAAGGTGACTAGGGGTCCCAAGCCCCTAGTCACCCCCCACCCAAAAAAACCTATCCCCTACCTACCCCCCTCACCCTAAAAATAGTGAGGGGGGAATAAAATAACTAACCTGTAAAAAAAAAATTAAACTTACCATTTGACGTCTTCTTTTTTCTAAAATCTTCTTTCTTCAGCCCCCAAAAAGGCCAAATAAAAATCCATTATACCCGTCGCACTTTAAAAAAAAAAAAAAGCGCAAAAAAAAATTAATCCATGTTCGCCCTTCGAGGGCACGCCGCAGACTGAGCTCCGCAGGGCGGGTCAAGGCTTATAAAGCCTTGCCCCGCCCTGCAATTAGGCTTAGAACACTCTGATTGGTGGGTTTAAGCCAATCAGAGTGCTCTGAGTCATTTTACACAGCGTGGGAAAGTTCTTTTGAATTTTCCCACGCTGTGTAAAATGACCCAACTTCATCCAAGCTTTAGCTGTCAGACAAATGGCCTCTCTACAATACTTTGGTATACAGTGAAGTTCATGGTTGACTCAATGACTGCAATGTTCCCAGGTCTTGTGACTGCAAACAAGCCCAAATCATCAACCCCCACCACCGTGCTTGACTGTTCGTAGAGGTTTGTGTTGATATGTTGTGTTTGGTTTTTGCCAAAGTGGTGCTGTGCATTATGGCCAAACATCTCCACTTTGGTCTTGTTTGTCCAAAGGACATTGTTCCAGAAGTCTTCTGGTTTGTTCAGATGCAACTTTGTAAACCTAAGCTGTGCTGCCATATTCTTTTTAGAGAACAGAGGCTTTCTCCCGGTAACCCTTCCAAACAAACCATTCTTGTTCAGTCCTTAAAGGGACTCTCCAGGCAGCCCGTTTTACTCACCTGGTTCCAGCGCCAGGAGCCTCGTGAAGCCGTCAAAATTACAAAATAGGCGGGCGCGAGCAATCAGACGCTTCCATTTGGCGCACTACCGCCCATGCGCGCGGTATGTCCTGATATGTAAATTGATAGAATTCAAAGATGGGTACTTTCTTTTTCCCATGACTGTATGTTCCGGTAGAGTATGTATGGCAACACATGCTGTCATAGCAACTCTATCAATATAATAATATAAATGTTAATAGTGCCCTGGTAGAGTTGCTGTGGCAATGAATTGGAGAGTGAGCCCCTTTCCTTCATGTATTTGTAAAATGTTAAATGTAATGTGGTCAGTATCAATGTGGGTGAATGTGAATGGAGTGCAGGCATGGACCAAGAAGACATGTCGCTATCTTTTAGCCACAAACATGTACTGTCTGTTGGTATTAACAATAACTAACAATTAATTATTAACAAAAATGATGGAGCTGAGACTCATTTTGGGATATGTATTACATCAATTCATCATATTGCCTTTTGCATCCAAGCACATACTATACCTTAATCCACAATAAAATAATCTGATCATCTAAATTACATTGCTGTTTATGAAGTTGCATGTATGAAGCCACATTTTCTATAATTTATGTTTTACCATTATATTACTATCTATTACCAATTACTCAATTTGAAAAGGAATCTTAAGAGACAAACCTGATTGCTAAACTATAATTTCTCCAATTTTCTACGCACAGAGATAGCTGCATATTGGTTGTAATAAGGACAGGGCTGTATTTCTGTGCTAGTCATTAATAACAGCCCACCATGTGCTGCTCTCCATCTGTAATAGCATATGCTAAGGTGTAATGTATCATGCTCTTACTGTGAATATATTATTTATATGATGCCACTATCATGCTTGTGTGTCACTTTCAGATTTGAAGCTGGGTACCTCCCGCCAACTTTCTTTATAATCTATACATAGAATTGTAGAAGAGTGCAGGCTCGCATGCCAGTAATTCTTATCTGAAACACTGTAGCCAACTAATAGTGGAGACTCTGAAAATGTATTTTTCTCATCTGTTTTATGAAGTTTCCAGACCCAGTATTAGACCTCAAGTTTGCTATATTTATATGTATGTTCATAGGGAGTCACACGTGAGTGACCCTCACTGTTACTACCTACTTCAATATCTCCATGTGTTGTCTACTGACAACCAAAGTGCCTCAAAATGTCAATACAATTACAATATGTACTCTGGCACACCTCTTAAGTTATAAGAGTCACTAAGCATAAGTCAGAGAGGGACAGACTAGGGCATTTCTACCAGGTGAGCACTAAGGCAGGGTTTGCAAATACATTTCTTACTATTTTTGCAATGCAAATGAAAACTAACTCTACATATACATTGAATTGGTTAAGAATGAGTTAATGTACTTGAGGGAAGGTAACAAAATCCCAGTTCATCTAAGGCACCAAGATACATTTGGCTTGTCTCAGCTAGCTGAATTGTAAACCATATGCTTTAATCAGGTGAAAAAGGGGTTTAAATAGATTGCTCCACCTCTTTCTTACTCATCCTAATTAATAATTAGTGTACTTAATTTGCAACGGGTCCCGTCCAGTGATGTCAGAAAAGTGTCCAACAGATAATAATCACACCTTTTGTATTTATTTATACATTTATTTTTTTAAATGTCCTCCAGTTCTGCTAGGGCAACATATAGAGCCAGGCACTGTAGCTGCCGTGAATTACATTTCCCATGATGCCTAGCTAATATTTTATAATCAGAAAAAAGAAAATCAGTTACAGTTGCAAATACTGTTTAAGTGAAATACTGTTTTAAGTGTCCCTGTAAACGAAACACTATGCAGTGTGTAACCCAGTGGCACTCAGTGAGTTAACTTCTTTTGGCTGGTATATTAGAATGAATCACTTTCTCAGATAAAATTATTGCTTTCCATTTATTCTTTTGTTGTTTCAACCATGATGAAGGATTTTTTTTTTTTTTTTTTTTGCAAGAGGCTTTGATCTAAGTCCCCCAGGGTTTTATAGTATTGTAGGTCCAGTTGTATCTAAAGGATGTCTTGAATGGATTTCACTATTGTCTACGTGGGTCATTTTGTAGAGCAGTTTATTCAAATACCCCCTTGGAAAATGGTAATAGCGCTTAGAAAACATGTCTGATTGATGAGAAGAATATTCACTGCAGAGTGATTGCTGTCAATCCCTGTCTAGTTACCCAGTCACATAGATAATTAGCCCAACATCAACTTCTGCACCTCTTTACACATTTAACATCTGTAATAATACAAGATTTACAAAACGGAAATAATTGTTTTCAAAAGTCTCTCTGAACCACCAAGTATTTATTTTTAGTTTATTGTTAAAATGGTTGTGTCTGAGTGCTGTTCGCCTTTAAATTATATTTTACACTTACATGTGAAAACTGAAAATTCAAGTGTGTCAGTTAATTTCTGTCCTTATTTATAGCGTTTTGCTTGTTTTGTTTTTAAACTATACACAAACAATGAAAATAAATAAGTGTTTACAAAGATAATCCTGCTCTTTCTTCTAACATCCTATATATAATACAAGAAACAGTCTTACTCTTATATAAAACATCTTTAGAACATTTATACATTTTAGCTTGTTATTAATATTTATTAATAATAATAATAATAATAATAGTTATAATTCAAATAATACAAACTAGACAGATCTCATCAGTTAAAGGTCTCTTTTCAGAGAATCAGAATCTGATCACATCATGGTATAGTGGGAAGTGGACAGAGTAAGACTTCTTTTCAGAATTACACACAAAAAAACTTCCCTGGTGTTGTAGGGTTAAATTAAAGGAAACATGCTTTCTCCCGCCCTACATGTGTCTGAATATTGGGATAGACTGAAAAGATGTGGTCCATATGTATCATATAACACAAATATGCCCTCCCTCCCCCCCTTTAAAAAAAAATACAACTAGCAACATTAAAGAAAACAAATTACAACATTGTTATTATTAATATAATATATATATGTATATATATATATATATATATATATATTTAAAAATCTATTTATTTACAAAAAGCTGGTGACTTGGTTTTTAAATTTCCTTTCCTGTTCTGTGATTTACTTTTTTAAGTATGTTAAAAAGCTATATTACATATAAAAATAAAACATCTGATTGGAGGTGCTTCACTCTGGATGCTTCATCAATCTTTAAAAATAATATACATAATAAAATCAATAATTATAGTTGTCAACAGTGCAAGAATGGTGGGATAACACTTAAACAGGGACATCGCCTATATTCCATAACTTGGCTGTTAAGCAAAGAGAAAATAAAATTTTTACTTATGGCAGTGATTCTTTTCTCTTTGATATGTCTAACCATTTGCTATCCAAAAGATTTACCATACAACTTAATATGTAACATCACTGCAAAGTACTGGAAGGGCTCAGAGTTTTATCCGTCTCTTCCAGTCTGCTGCTGTTAACCAATTAACTGATAAAGATATGTCCATTGTCGGATCTGTTCATCCACATATTGCCAGTAGCAACAGAACTCCAGTTTGTTTGTCATTTAGTTTAGTAGGGGTTAACCGCTGCCCAATACATCTCAAGTCTTTCCATTTGACAGCAGCTAGCATGAACACTTACACTCTGATATTATGGGGTACTGCACAGGGATCCACGTGCAGAACCTTTGCCTTGACCATCCTTGACAATACCACCTCAAGAAAGTCTTAGTAACAGACTTGACAGGCTTGCAGAACATACCCTCTGGGAAGGAACATGACTTTTCAGAGAAGCAGTGTCCTTCCTTGATGAACCTTGGCCAAAACCTAACCCCTAGGTCCTTCCATGTGTATAATACAGGGCAATAGGTATAAGCCCACAACCACTGCAAGAACTTCCGGCGAGCTTTCTTCCCCATTCTGATCCTACCACCATAAGGTGCTTCACTGAGGTCCATCTTTTTCAGGTCCATGGGAAGTGAACCAAGGCTTTTAGACTTTGTCAGCAAGTCTTGGTTGGATGTGTTAACAAAGCTGGGCAAAACAACTGCCATGAAGTTGGGGTCAAAGTTACTACCAAGCCTTTTCCTTAATGTTTTTTCATCCATGTCTTGCTCCTTTGGGTCCTGCTCTGGGTCAGGGTGCTCAATAATTTCCTTCACAGGTAGGTTTTCACTTGGAGAGGGCCTAAGTCTGAGATAAGGCTGGCAGGACCCATTATGTTGGACCAAAAGCAAACAGGAGCAAAGCAGAACTGCCTGTGGCAAATTTATCCTCTTCATGATGTAAACCCCCCTTCAATGTAGAACAGGGTTCTCCCACCCCCCTCCCACCCTCTCAACCAATATTTAAAGAAATTCAGGTAATCAGAAAAGAGCAATGGACTGTAATAATCCACAGAGAGAATTTCAGAACACAGAGGAGCCAGAGGAACACATGAGTTCTGGTAAATGCCTTTTTCTCAAAACAAAATGCTTATATTCACTCGCTGGTCTGTTTTGCAGAGCTCAGAAATAGACACAAAGTCCAGAGAAGATGCTTTAAATAGATCAGTGGTGTGTGTGACACACACACACAGATGGATAGACTGTATGTGATCTCTAGCCCTGTGGAGCCGGGACGTTTCTCACAGAGAGGTAGCTGTGTCCTCGAGCAGGGAGAGCCACACAAGGCAGGCAAAGATATTTACCCCTTTCTCCAATTTTTCTTCTCCCCTATTTGCTTCTTATGTCGTAGTTGGCTCTCAGGACATAAAAATTCACAGAGGACTAGTCTCCATCCCCATGGTGACATCCAGGACAACTTGTCTAGACTTTCTGATACACTTGGGCATGAGACTGCAGCCAAGGAATAAAAATAATTAAAATTAATCCTTTTCCCTTGAAAAACCAACAGGGAGTGACAGATATACAGTGTTAGCGCATCCAAAAATATACAGTCTGCCAGTTTAATGATAAACTATTTGTGAGTGGTTGTTAAAATGTTTGAAATCCTTTAAAGAAATTTAAGGGTGAACACTTTAAAGTGTGCCCTTTTAATTTAGCCAGTTCCAAAATCCCAACTGAGAGCCTGAACTGCAGTACGATTAGGCTTCATTCTCTGCAATTAGTCTCCCTATTTGCCCTCTTTTTTTATTGTAAATCAATATGTTATGTAGGAAGGCTTCTTATACTGTTCTTCCTCTGTATGAAAATTAAGGTTTTGTCTCAATTCCTCTGACCTCAGCCTTTGCAGACAGTCTACCGAGTCTTTTTTCTCCTTCTTTTTTAAGTGCAGATAAAAAAGCAGACCGAATAGTTAGGCACCATACACATGGGGGTGTATGTGTGTGCAAAGAAGCTCTTTCAGAGCAAGGCTCCTTGTTCTTTTCTGTTTTTCTCTCTCTCTTTTTTGCTGGGAAAGAATGCTCTTTGGGTGCAAATGAGATGTTGCTGGTAGGGAGGAGGAAGGATTAAGCCCCCCTTGTACAAACTGGTATGGAGGTGCTGAAGAAAAGACTGTAGTATCACATTGCCAAACTGGTGATTCTTGTATCCATATGTCCTTCAGAGTTCAGCATGATACGCACCATTCTGGCTTTCTCTGTGGATAGCCCCAAGGGTCTTTTCTCTGTGTCCTTGTACTTAGACCATATGGGAGCTCGTGAGCTGCAGGTTGCAGGTCAGGAGTTGCCTGAGAGCAAGTGAACAGTTTATGTGCCCACTGTGCATGTATATCCTATATCCTTTTTGCTTTGGATGTGAGTCCTGGAGACAGGTGTCTTTCAAAAGGAGTTGTTACTTCTGTACCTGCTTCACGTCCTCCTCTCTCTGCAGAGCTGGGAGAGAGTGTGTCTCCTCTCTACAGCTACTGACTCCCTAATGTGCTTTGCTCTTCCCCACCAATCCAAGTTAAATATCTCCCCCTGATGGTGTGAATTGTTAACTGACACTGCCCACTGCAGTCACCCCCCCCCCAAAGCCCACACTCACACACACTCTCACACACTCAGTGACTGACAGCCTCTCCACAACAACCCTGACCAACCCCCTCTCCTTTTCTTAAACCCTAACCAATTTACAGTGTGGCTACTGGGTCCTAAACCCTATCCACCTCCAGTTTTGGCTCATTAACCCTATATTGGCGTATTAGTACATTTTTCTTTTATCCTAAATCTATACAATATGTGTTTATAAAAGGCAATAGCAAGGAATGTATAAAATGTTAATATCTTAGACAACAGTAAAAGATTAAACTTTAAAACTACATTATTCTAAAATACACACTTGAATACACTGCTTGATTACTCTTTTATGTATCTGTATAATCATAACACAAATCAAAGTATTTAGCTTGTTTTCATGGTATCGTAGATTACAGACGTGATCACCTAACCCAGTAAAATAATTGTTACAGTTGAGAATTAAACCTGCAACCCTGAGGTTTGAACATGTATTAGAGATAGTGTGACAGTAGCAGCAACTATCTTAGCAGCTATATATAAGCAATGTGTTACTTACCCAGCTGTCTGAGATACATAGATATACAATAACACAGAAAAAAACAGGTGCAAAAATTAGGTTGATGCTTGTTCTGTGAAGGATTTGGATTAAGAAATGTTTCTTGTATAGACTTCCCTTTATTCCTGTTCATGCAATAATAGGAGAGATGTACTAAGGTATTTTCTTCAGAGGTTGTGTTACCTCCTCTCTCTGACTTTGAAGCCATTCAACAGGCTGTCCCTGAGCATTATAGGAGTTTCTCTACAGCATCTTGATTGCTATAGGCTGAAAGTCTCAGCTTAATCAGCTGCCATGGTATTATCACAAATGTATGCAGTAAAGCATGGTTTGACTGTAGGTACAGTTCCAGCTATCACTGACCTTACAACTACCATAGACTCCATGAGAAGATGGCTGGGTACAGCAAAAGATCAGCCGCAGCAGACGATCATCATTTGACCTGTAAACTAAAAAAGTTCAAGTATCCCACACATTAGTACAGATGATACATGGCAATGAAAAGTATCAAGCTTCTCCCATTGCATTGTGGTGAAATGAAACCAAAGTTGGGAAAAATTCAGAAATTTTTCCCAATAAGTTCTTCTTGCTTCTTGTCCATCCAGTGGACCTGCACAAAGAATACATTTATTTTTATATAGGCAAACTATATAATTTTCTCATGATTATTATTGATCAAAGAATACACCTAGTAAAGTCAATGCAAACTCCATTCAGATCTCCACAAGTTGACAAATGTGGTACTCCATAGTGTCTTAGGCTGGTTTAATGTAGGTTAGAAGCATTCATTAGCTTCCAAAAAGCATGGCTCATCTAATATAAAGTGGAACTTATAGCTATCAAGATCTTGTTAGAAGTATGTTACAGATAAACTCAGCCATGTTTGGTCTTATTCACCATTCACTATGTTCTACCCACATTGTGCCAAAAGCTGTCTGGGTTCTTGCTACCTGACAGGTTGGTCACATTGCAGCGATTATCGACAAATGAATGACAAATGTTGCACTCAAGATCTCATGTTGACAACACAAGTTAAGCTCAGTTTTAAGTGGATAACATTTTCTGACTTTAGTGGCATTGCCCTGAGAAAAAGGGTCTGTAATTTTTAGATTGTAATCATGTTAAATACTTTTGCATAAGCCCACACATTACCTTCTGTCCAACATCTGTATACTTACCATTTCTGTCAACCGGAAAATAAAGAATAAAAAAAAAAAATAAAAAAAAATACTTGTACCATAACTGCAGAAGTTCAGAAAACCTTAATGATCAAATACTAGAGTGATCATCATCTCAGTAATTAAAACCAGGGCTTAAGGGAGTATGGCTTACAGACAGACATTTGTATACACACCAATTTATACGGATGTAGTAAACCAAATCGAGTGTATGTGCTTATGAAAGTTTGTGTGTGCGCGCTACTGAAAT